CTAATTCTGCTGCCACAAGAATAACAGTCTTTCCTTCTTCATCTTTTATGGCTGCAGTATCCTTTGAGAGCAAAAACTGAAAAAGAAGTTAATACTTTAGTCTGTAAAACATTTTTCCTGCTTTCAATTCTAATTATGGATACATCAGTTATCAAAAGTATCAATTTAAAGACTGGCTTTATTGATGATAGAAATAAAATCATAAAAATTTTATGGCAAAAATCAACACAAAACATTTTAAAACCATTTGAGGTGACAAAAGCTCCCAGAAGAAGTATCAAAGAAAATAAGAGGATAAAACATCTTTGGTACAGGGAGATGAGGTGACTCATTTACATATGGAGTCACAAAGCCTATAAATAGCTATGGCTATTACTCATGAGGCAGTTGAGTGCATACTACTACCCATGAGTCAGTAACACTACATTACATCATTATTAGTACTTCTTTTCAATTGTTTATAATGAGACATAGAATTTATTAATTATATATATGGGCATGTGGCCATTCTGACCAGAGTTCAAATCTCACCATGGTTGATGTTGTGACTTCTTGATTTTATTGGGTTGAAGAGGTGATCCCAGCATATCTTTGGAAAGTGCCTGAAAACCATACCACATGTTTACCCAAGACTTGTAAGTGGATTTGGGGGCTGTCAATGGTTGTACTAACACAAAATCATAAGTCTTTTTGACCAAGTGTTTGAGTGTACTAGCCTTGTTCAGGCTGTTGAATGTACCAGATAATGCACTCTCTCCCAGAAACCGTAACTATGGTCTGCTCAGTATAGTTGCAGTATAAACCACACTTTGGTTCTGTAGGTATTGAGCAAACATAAATATATTAAGAAATGGACAAAGTCCGACAATTTATTTATTAAAGACATTTTATGTTTAACGTGGCCAAGTCGGTTAAGGCACGTCAGCGTAAATGACGGTTCCGTATAGGATGCAGGTTTGAATCCTGTCAAAGGACGAATATTTTCTATGAAAATTTCTCGGACATTCAGGCCGGTAAATGTTATTTAATACTGTTTATTATAAATAGAGCATTTACTTAAATACTTGTATCTAAAAAAAAGAACGTTAAACATAAAAATGTCTTTAATAAATAAACATAAATATGCCTGAGCAGGCATCTGCAAAAGGGATAGGCATATTTGGATAGGTGTGGTCAGCCATTATTATTAATCATGTCAATATTTTTATTTACTCTTATGATTTACATTTTTCTTCTCGGTCTGTAAAGGTCCTTTGTAGGACATAGAGCTTTTCTGTTTTTGAAAAGGAATGGGTCATTAAATGTTGGTAGTGGTGGATGTGACACACTTTGGTGACCATGTCTCTTTCTGATTCATGATCACCTAAAGGTATTTGTGTGTAAGTGAATTTAAGAAACCCAATTAGAATTCAAACTCGGTTCTCCAGTTTCTTATTACAACACCTGATATTCCAAAGCAGTTACCTATCTTGGTACTGACCAGAGTTGGCATTGAAACAGATAACCAAAGTAAAGCAATGTGATAGGGCCATAAGCCTATGATTACATCTTTAAATGATGCTAAAAGCCTAGACATATTAAAAAGGATACAAGAAAATCAAAAAGAAATTACAGCCACAGTAAATAGCAATACAAAAAAAAGTTTACATAATCAGCTGACTAGTTTTCATTCTTCTCTCATTGAATCTTGATAGAAGAATTAAAATATTGTACACTTTGACCTTTTTTCTCCACTCTTTTTTTTTTTTAGTCAGTGTGCATAATATCTTCATTCCTTGTTCATGTTCTGATAAGAGAGAGGGGGAAAAAAAACTGTCAGTAGATTCTGTGTTTAAACACACAACACAACCCTCACCCAAGCTTTCCACCAATCAGCTAATGAGCAGCTCATGTTGCATTCCAATTCTCAATCTTGTTAGTGTGCACTGAAGGGCATGCTTCATGCTCACAAGGTAACACTATGAAAGACAAACACCACATCAAGAAATATGAATGCGAACCTTGTTTCCTATATTATGTGTAGATGTTTTATTCAGGTCTTCACCTGATCGTTCATGTAGGTAACTACATGACACATAAGACAACTTCCGTTATGTCAGTATTTCCCCCTACTAATTCCTCACCTATTTACTCATCCCAACTTAGTGGCTGGTAATATGAAATGGAAGCTTCAGAACCACTTGATGGACACATACATTTACCACCAAGAGCAGTAGGACTCTCCCCACAATCCCAAGCACGATTGCTAATAGATCAGCACCTGGAAATATCCTATTTCCAGTTTTGTTGCCACTTAATCTCTCAAAATCCCTTTACTTCCACTTTGGTTAAAATGGATGCCGCTTAGAAGACCGAACTTCAAAAGGAACTATCCACTAGCCTATCAAACAGAAACACTTGAGATTGAGATAAAACTACCTTTTTATGTGGGTGTCCATAATATGACACTGATTCTTTTTTTTGTAGTACCATTTACTGTATTTATAGTAGCTGTAGTTTCTTTTTTTTTTTTTTACAAGTTTGCTCTTGTTCTTAATGTTTTTTTTATAGCACTGATTAAATTTTGTAACTTTAATAAGATCTTTTTGATTATATCATTAGTTACAAAGCAAATTCTAAATGGAAGTGGAAAAATGAAACTGTATCTGAGCCTAGTAAACATGCGTGGGTCATGTAACAGTTATCAGTGTGGAAAATGGAATCAGCAAGCAAAGTTCAAATTCTGGCCTAGTCTATTCACTTTCACACTAATACCTTTGACAAAACAAGAATTTATCTCTTCTCCTCCTCCCAGTCTTAGGCTAAGTAACCCAGTGTAGATGATGCCAGAATAGACACTAAAAGCAATTTACACTAGACATCAAGGAAGTCAGGTGCCCCAAGGTTTGACTTTGAATAAGACTTGGCTACCAAGAAGGGAAGCACATAACCTCACACCTGCAATCCAGTTTGCAGGTATGGGAAAGATTTTGTAATACATGCAGTTATATAAACAACCATCACAGAAATCTTGGGACAGTCACTCACACATTGCAGAAAATATGTAAGGTCCATGTATCAGATCTAGATTGATGAGGCTTGCACTATAGACCATCCAAGAGTCTCATCTTATCATTAGTAATAGCACAATCTATTTCATTACAAGGGTAGACTGGGACCTCTAACTTTGGGTGGTAACCAATTTAATAAAAGGACTACTTTGAATTGTAAACTACGGAGAAAGCAAAAAAAGCATTTCACTGTCTTTCCCAAGATATCATGGCAATTCACAGATAAAGAAAAGGTATACAACAGGCTAAACCAGAACTTGAACTTTACTTGATGATTTACTTGTCCACATCATGATTGCCTGTGTCTTGGAGAGACCTGTCATTTAAAAGAGAAAATATATTAGCAAGTTTTTGGGCTTTTCATATTGTTGCCTCCTGATTTCATAGATATTTCAACAAGATCTTGCTTAACTTCAATACTTTTCTGTATCAATAAATAAAATATTTCTGTTGATTTAAAAAAAAAAATGATTCAGCACCATTTTTTAATCCTAAAAGTTGTTTTAACAGATTGCAGAACTCAGCCTGTTTATTGTACATTGAAATTCAATAAGAAAGGGATTGTTAGTGGTCAAGAATTACTGCCAAGATAAGGCGGTTACATATATAATGTAAATACATAATTTTACCATAGAGAAATGAATTGTTAATGAGTTTATGATAGTAAATCATTTCTAATAATTTTTACTGTAGAAACACATTTTAAATCAGGAAAAAGTATTGTCAGGAGTTAAGATAATCATTACTAAAACAAAAAGATTACTATATAATTTAAAACAATATTTATAAAAAATTATTTTTGAAAGTTTGGGTACTGTAAATTTCTATACATTCCAGTAGATTTGCCTTTTCATTTTTCTTTGAAATGCCTCTTAAATATTTAGCCCATCTTATCTATTTCATATTCATGTTAATTAGTTAAAATGATATTAATTATATATTGTTTCCTTTTTGAAAGTTGCACCTTGTCTTCATTTTGGTCTCCACGCCCTCATGTGTATAATATTTGTTTTGCAGTGATATTATTGAACCATAGGAGAAGCCTCATTGTTCTTTCTCTCTCTCTCATATATATATATATATGTGCACACGCACACAGTGTGTGTGTGTGGGGGGAACAAATATTTGTACACATACAAATGTTTAATTTATTGTATTTTCAACTAATGAATAAACATACTTTTCACAATTAACTGTACACAGATGCATAATAATTAAATATGCATAGAAAACAAAAAAAAATTAATTTAATATAAATCCCATTTATCCATTTTAATGGGTGAAAAAAGTATTTGTACACTATAAAAAAGAATACATAATCTTCATGTAATACTTTGTAGAATAGCCATTATTCACTTCTACAGCAACCAACCTCTTCTTGTAGTTCTCAATTACTGATTTGCAAATTTTAGTTGGTATTTTGTTCCATTCTTCTTCACATGGTCTTCAGATACGGGATGTTTGTTGGAGCTCTTGATTGGATTTAAATCTGGGGACTGACTTGGCCATTTCATGATCTTTACATTATTTTTAGCAAATCATTTCTTCACAAATTTTGCAATTTGCTTAGGATCATTATCTTGTTGGAAGATCCAATCGAGAGGAAGTTCAAGAGTTTCAAATTTACAACTGTATACATATGAAAAGTATGTTTATTCATTAGTTGGAAATACAATAAATTAAAAATTTGTATGTGTACAAATATATATATATATATATATATATAAATAAAAAGAACAGTAAGATATATAATCTGGTGTTCTTATAGATATTTTTATTTTTACAAAATAGTGCTCAATGTAAATTTACAGAGCATTAATATTATAAATTAATTGATTTAAAATATGTTTTTTTTTCACTACACAGTTCTAACCATGTTTCAAAAATGGAAGCTAAAAGCCACAAATTTAATTTTGCAATTAAATTGAAGACATTAGTTCCATTTCATCCTCAAGCGAATTTTGGAGTAACTTTTAAAATTACTGGGTTTTAAAATCACATTTCCATGAAATGGAACTAATGTCTTTAATTTAATTGCAAAATTATATTTGTGGCTTTTAGCTTCCATTTTTGAAACATGGTTAGAACTGTGTAGCGAAAAAAAACATATTTTAAATCAATTAATTTATAATATATATGGTGTTTTCCTTAATTGGGTTTGCAGATGTCTTAGAGGTTTCCTCCTTGGAAATTGCCTTATTGGATTTACACTTGAACCTTAGAAAAAATCCATGATACTGATTTTTAAAGTAGGTAAGCAAGACCTCTACACTGGGGAAATGGTATGACATAATCTTCTGAATTTCTATCACACCTCCATTTAGCTGTGTTTAATAAATAAGACAAACAACTTTACTGTTCCCTAAGTTTGTATGTATATGTTTTCTCAACTGAATATCAAGTCATTGAAAGGCAATATACAATCTTACCTGCAAACATTCAAGAGGATCTGTTCTGCGTACTGCCCAATGCTGCCAGGTTCGACCATTATCATCTGTTTCATACTCTTTGCTGTTGAACAACAGTTTGCTTGATTTGTACAACAATTCGAAATGTTTTTTGTGGTCAACTCTGCAGGCCCACATACAAGGAGTCAGTCCATCTTTGTCCCCGAAAGCACTGACATCAGCTTTGTTCCTTAGAAGACTCTAAGAGAAGGAACAAAAGCAAAATGATAGTTATGAGATCATCAACCAAATCCAAAAGCATATTGGGATTGTGAAAGATGCCTTCAAAAAGCTAAATAAAATATTAAGAAACAGGAAAATTTCATTAGCAACAAAGAAAAAAAGTGCTCAACTGTTATGTAATATCAATCCTCTGATATGGCAGTGAATACTGTAAAATTTTCTCAGATGAAGAGGAGATGACATACTAGAAAAATGGTTCTACAGAATGATGCTGAGAATACCATGAACTGAATATGTGAGCAAGTAAGTCAGTTTTAAGGGAAATATAAATGAAAAGGAAACTTATACTTAAATTCACAAAGCGACAGTTAAAATTTCTAGGGCACATAATGAGGAAAAAGGGCTTAGAGAATTTGATACTCATAGGACATACTGAAGGGCAGAGGGAAATAGTAACCTACTTAACAAACCTGGTAATAGTTCGGGGAAAGAATTTCCAAAGTTCAGCACTCAGATTATTTTGAGATACTTTTAAACTGCTTTGGAACTGATTTTAGTTTTCATATTTTTTTCAATAAAATACTGATTTGTAATTTTGCTTTATACTTTTTGTAAAGAAACTCCTTCTAAACCCCTAAAAGTATTTTCTTGAGGCTCCTTGACTTTCAAGGCCCAGAGAATTCATGCCGGCTGTTTCCACTCTCACCACCACTGGATGACAGAATAGAAACTTGGACTGATGTGAAGACAAACATTATTAAGAGCTACAAAGGATAGGGAAGTTATGGGTAGACATCTTGAAGGGCCACAGCACTTAAAAGAAAATGACAAAGCTGTAATTAGGGGACACTCTAGAGCAAACTTATTAACCATTACTTTAAGGCAAGGTGCTCATTGATATTTACTAAACTTAGCTTAGTTTGGCATAAGGCCACATTAGTAGGGCACTCAGTGAAGATCAAATTGATTACAAAGCTATAATGGTTTGTGAAATTAACCTGCTAATCATTTTTCTGTGGCTAGTCACTTAAGATAATTTAGTTTAGCTCAATACTATGACCATGTTATACTGGAACACACCTATTCTATAGTTAATAGACTCTCCCACCTATAATAAGTAGTAGTAGTAGCAGTCACAAAGGGGCTCAGTGAGTTGCTCAGTCAGTTGATGTTGGACATTAAAGTATCAGCCATCACAACTAGATAGCTGCGTCATTAAATATTATATCAAGTTCCTAACGTTTTGTACGTCAGACCTATTTAAGGACTGACTTAGTGAAATACAAGCCTCCACTGTGAAACTACTCTATAACAGACCATATCATAACTTTGAGGATTGAAGTATAGCCTCACCCCACGAGATGTTACTGCTATGCTTTCTTTTGGCAAATTGTGTCAAATATACAGAGCCATAAGTTCAAATAGCTGCAAATCCACTCTTCCACTTCAGTGGCTCCCCCCCCTCTTGTTCAATGCCCCCGACTTTATATGGGTTTGTAGGTAGGTATACTAATCTGTAGGTAGCACATCTGGGTGATTCCATCAACTGTTTTCTGTTATGACAGACTGTGTCTACCCTGGTTTTTATTTGTATCATGGAGCCAATGACATCGGTAGGTACATGCCTTCAGCCTTTTTTGATTGTAAGTAGATTTTTCTGCATATTTCTATGAGTAGGTTTTAATGAGTGGAGTTACTAGCACCTCCCCACCTGCTCAACCAGTTTCAAATTCAGAGTTGTCCTTAGTTTTTTACTAGAGAACCCAGTCTGCTCTGCTATTAAATACAAACTGGGAGGGGAGGGAGATGGAATCATATTTTTATTAGGATATTTGTGTGAAAGTGAATGCAACAACATCAGCTGGAATTTGAAATCAACATACCAATCCCACTTTTTGCCACTACACTGCATGCACAGATCTGTAATTTCAACTATATGATGTAATACTTACTTGTAAACATTCCAATCCTGGGGTGGTAACTGCCCAGTGAATAGGCGCTCGCAACTGGGTGTCCTGTGCATATATGTCCCCTCCATGCTTTATCAAATGTTCTAAGGCAATGTGGTTTCCGTCATGGCAAGCTTTGTGAACAGGACTTGTGCCATCTGTAAAAAAAAAAAAAAAAGTCATTTTTTTTTTTTTTTTTTTTAATCATTGAGCTTCAGAATTCCAAATAAGGATTTTTCTATAAAAAAAAAAAATATTGACACTTTTGGATACTAGTCTGCAAAATAGTAACCAAAAAATATCAGTATTATTATTAATGGCACAGAGTCGGACACCATAGGTTGTTTTTTGATGGTAGGAGAGATCACTGTATGCCATTGATCAACTACCCCTGCCTCAAACCAGGCAGCCCACACACTGTAGGCTGTTGATCCGCAACAGTCTGCTTGCTTCAGTGGGTAACTAAAGTTTATAGCTGCTTAGTTTAATAAATAAGCAGATCGATAACTATTCATCAAACAAACAGGAAAAGAATGAAGAATCCAGATCAAGCTGGTGCCAATGCCACTAAGACTACAGGGAGTGAAAGAGAATAAAAAGATTATAGAAGGAATCGGAAACCCAATCCTAAACAGAGATAAATTTCTACTCCTGTTAAAAAAACCAGGAAGCAGTCTGAACTGGATGACAGGCGAATATGCACAATGCTCTGTCTGATGACCTTCAAAAAGTAAACAATGCTTGCAAGACTATCTCAAAACTTTATTCCACATTCCATCTTTATCTGCCACACCTGCAGAAGAGACTGCCTTGCAAAGATCAGACTGTTAAGCCACTTCACTGTTCACAAAAGAACTTATGAACAAACAAGCTGCTACCATTATCTTGCGAGATAAATGGATGCCTTTGACTTTATTGAAAGTAAATCATTAGTGCATGTCATCTAATTTTTGTACAGAAAAGGTTACCTAATATTTAAAACCTGCCAATCAGGTAGATTAGGTAAAAATAGCAAAAATTTTAAGAAGACTTTATACAGTAATTGGATTGTTAACTATGCTGACTGTTGTAGTCCTACCTAAGATTGAACTCACCATCCTTGGTTAACAAATTTCTGAAGATATTAGACTCCTACTCCTCAGCTTAATGGATGTATTCTAAGCAGTAGCAGAAGCAGGTTTGTCTCCCTTCCTGCCAAAATGGATTTAACTTTAGGCATTATTTAAGTTTATTGAAATTTCTCCTGTGAACATTTTTTGGTGAAGTGCTGTCATTCATTATATTGAGTGAGATCCTGTTTTAACAAGGATAATTTCATAATTATTATTGAATATATGATAAAATCCTTCAGGAAGAGGAAATTCCCCTGGCCTGAACTGAATTTTGAAGTAGTTGAGCAACCTTCAATTTTTAAGCAGTTCTTCAAAATCCAGAGGCCTGTAGTGTAAATAATGACTCTTCATCCAAGAAATTCAAGCAGATATTATCAAATCACCTCATTGAAGTTATATAGGAGTCTCACTATAGAGCAATGTTGTTAAGCATGTCTTGCAGACTATTATTAATATGAGTTAAATCCTTATTGGGTACTTCACCCTTATATGCTGATTCCTGACAAATCTAACCTTTGTAAATATCTAGAATGTTATTTCAGAGAAATGATTACCAAGCTACATTGTAATAGATTTTCTTACACAAGTTGGTCTTTCACAACTAAAAAGTATTAATTAACTGTTGTTTGTAAAATTCTCAGGATATATTTATATGATAATTATGTCATATGAAGGTTGTTTTTTTTTTTTGTGGGGGTAAGGTTCACCTGTACAAGGCCCAGAAGGAGGGGAACTTGACATAGAGGGTTATGTTAAGGGTAGTTTATATGGATAGGAGGGAAGATAACCAGTTCAAGTCTAAAGTTAGCTGTTAAGATTGTAGTGATCAGGGAAACATCCCCTTGGAAGTCTGCTGCAGTGGTTTGTGGGAAGAAGCTGTTTAAATGGAATTTTTCACTGTTGGAATATGGAGGGAATGTGGGTGGTTTGCTACTATATAAGTGGCATAGCAGGTCCTAGCCATGAAGGTTAGACCTGACAGAACCAAGGAAAGTAGTTCATCTGAGCACTTTCCATGGTAGTAGTGAATAGCAGTGAGAGACTGACCACGTCCTGCCTGTGAGAGAGAGTTTGGAGGGTGGAAAATAATTCTTAACCAACAAGGACTCAGATACACTTTTGAACTCTATTAAGACTGGAAAGTGAAGACTGGGCAGCTCCTGTCCATATATGGCAGCAGTACTCCATTTTTGACCTGATCTGGCTCTTGTAAAAGCAGGGGATAGCAGAGATGCTTTTGGGCTCTATTAAGATTGGAAAGTGAAGACTGGGCAATTCAGCTTATCCCTTTTTTATTAGAAATATTTACAACAACATACTTGATAGTGTGAGGTTTTATGATTCAGTCTGATGCTTTTTTTTTAATCATCTTATAAATAATGTATATAATAGCAATTGATTTTTTTTTAAATTTCAGATATATAAAGAACTGGATTGCTATATGATATTCATTGTCTTAAAGGTCAATGCTGCACAATCTTCCCATGGATGAAGAGAAAAGTAGAGGTATCAAAGATGTGGTTCTACAGAAGGATACTGAGACTTTCATGGAAGGAGCGTGTAATCAATAAGGAAGTCTTAAAGAAAATAGCATCAAAAAGAATACATATTCAAAATAAAGAAGAGAAAAGCTAGAATTCCTTGGACACATAATGAGGAAGAAGGGCTTGGAAAACTTAACCCTCACAGGTTATATCAAAGGCAAGAGAGATAGTGAAGGAAACAAGCCACCTTCCTGTATGAATGGATGGTGGAACTAGGGGTGGGAACCTTAGTGAAGGGAGAAAAACAGCTAGGGGCTACAAGAGATAAGAAACTGTGAAGAGCCATGATCGCCTTGTCCTGGATGGATGCAGCACAGAAAAGAAGAAGAAAGATACAATTTCAAAAGAGATTGTAAAGTTATTAATTGATGGGATCACAGCACTAGAGATTGCAAAAAAGAACAAAAAAAGTTGAGCAGTGATCACGGAACAGTCAAAAAAGAAATTGAAAACCATAGCAGAATAAAAACATGAAAATAAAATTTCCTTTAAGAATTTCAGAAAAATTAAAAAGGGTAATAATCAAGAAATTTGGATTAACCAGCAATAAAATATTTGAAGAATCTGGAATGTAAACAGAGAAAAAAATGCATAATATTAAGAACTTTAGCTAAAAACCTGAAAGTAACTAAACTGTTTTTATAAAGTAAAACATCACAAAGCGATGCATATAAGTTGAGCAAAAATGTACATGAAAACTTATCAACTCAACAGTAATTTTTAATGATGAATGTAGAGCTATATTGGATGAAACTAATGGCTTGACTAGAAGTTGGATTCTTTATAGAAATAGTCAATTACTAAAGCCCTTCCTGAGTATGGCAATAAACTACATCTGGCAGCAAGGCTTCTGATCAGGAGGTTTTGAGGAGCATGGAACCACCACTTAATTGCTTTTGTTTCCAAGTCCACTCTGACCCAGGGTGATAGCACCTGTTAGGGTCCCAGCTATGGGCAAACAGTTAACCCTCAAACTGGGGTCAAAATACTATGAAAGTATAAAAATACCAGCAATACATTTTTGAAAAAAAAAATATTATCAGCAATGAATATAAAAGGTGTTCCAATAACTTGGACCAATTTCAAATGTGAATTAAGTGTCTAATGATTTTTTTGTCTTTCTTTCACATTTAACAACTTAAGTCTTTGGCAATTTCAACCATAGAAAGATTAACAAATTATTGAAGCCTATTATGAAAATGGACATTCAAACAGAAATGCAATAAGCTCCCATGTCACATCCTCTCTCAAAACAGCAAAGTCAATTGGCCACCATGATCATGTGACTTGACAACTTTAGATTTCTTCCTTTAGGGACATCTTGAAAGTAAGGTCTATGCCAACAAGCCAACAACAATTCAACAGCTAAAGGATGAGATAATAAGACATATTGGTGAGATCAAGGAGCAACTATGCAGAGACATCATTAAAAAAATTTTGACCATTGAGTGGATGTGTGCTGCTGGAGCCTTGGCAGACATTTGACAATATTATTTTTTCACATAATTGCCATGACTTAAATAACATGATCCAATAGAGAAATAAATTTTAACCAATAACACTGATTTATTTACTGCTGACTTTGATCCATCTTAATGAAACACCCTTTAGATTCTATTCATATGAACTTATCCTAAAAATCTTGTCAGCATTAAATAACTCATTGTGGTTGATATGCTGTAAAACAAACTATTACAGCTTAATAGATAACTGTCTCTTCAAGATGTTAAGAATTTCTAGGGAATGTAATGAGGAAAGAGGGCTTGGAAGAGTTGATACTCACTGAACATTGAAGGCAAACAATGCATAACATACTTAGTGAGCTTGAGTAAATGGATGGCGAAACAGGGTTTAGGAGAAATAACAGACAAAATTTATTAAGAGCTACAAGGGATAGGAAGTTGGGGAGAGCCATGATCACCTGCATGCCTAGGGAGACACACCATATAAAAAAAGATTATGATCTGAAATTCACACAATATAATGCTCATATGTTAGCAGTATTTTTAAAAAAAAATAGTGATAGATATTTACATTGTTGTCCTCATCTTTGTCATATTCACGTTTCGGGCATTGTATGCTCTGGCCTTCTTCAAGTAATACTTGTTGGAATTTCAAACTAGACGTTTAATAAATAATTTGGTATAATGGCTGAAACATTGTGAATGTAATAATAAAAGATGTGGACAACAGTGTAAATAATGACAATACCTCAACTCAGAAATATAGACAGCTGTTGAAGGAGATTTAACACTGAATTATTCACTACTTTCTTTTTCAAGGCTCTCTACTGCTCTACTTAATTTCAGTCATGGTCATTTTCTGTTGCCATAGCAGGATATGACAACACAACTGCCAAATTCAAACATGCTATTATTCATTCATTTGAGGCACTTTCAGTGGCAGGATAAAAGTTTTGCTTTGCAAGCAAAATCACTTCCAGTATGTTAAACGTTAAGCTGAAATTTACATAGAATATTGCTCATCTAATTATAAGTCGATCCTGAAAGTTTCATCAACATTGGCTGGTTAATACCATTATTTGTGGCAACTTGATATTTAATATGTAATTGCACAGACTGTTATTGTGCTTGTTATTTAATTAAGCCAAATAAGTAATGTCTTCATGATGTAATTGTTATCAGGGTTGTCCAAGTTATTAAGTTTGATTTTCACAGTACTGTACACTTGTAGCCTTGTGCCAAAATCTGGAAAACTTAATTACTTATCTCTAAACAATTGACTGTTTATAATTTTTTTTTATTCTTTTGAATCTCATTAACTTGAGGCTATGATTAAATCCATGTTGTTACACTAATAAAATCTGACCTAGTTTTTTTTAAACCAATCCTCTTTTTACAGATTTTCATCTATGAAAAGTAAAAGAAAAAAATTGTTTCTATTTCTCTTTTCTCGTGAAAATGACTAATAACCATATTACATCATTTTGATTGACTTAACTGAATGAAAACGTGACACAAAACATAACCTATTTATACTAAAAATTCTCACTATTTTGTTACTAGTTTCACTTCATCTTATTATTGCTGTTTTCTATCAACATTATTAGTCAGTCAGTTGTGTGTCATGCGTGATACATGCTTAGGTGATCACATATCTTTTGATACATGACTGACGAGGCAGATTTTTTTTTCCCCGCAGTAGTTTGCCATTTCTTTCTGTGGTAGACCAGTTGCCATCCAAGGCTATAGAACCCAGTCTGTCCTGCTATTTATCCTTAGCTGGAGGGAGAAGAGGATTCATAGCTTTCCCAAGGATATTAACACGTAAGTGAATATAATGGATTTGACTGGAATTTGAACTCGGCTCTCCGATTCCTCAATCCAAGCTGCTATCCATTACCCCACTATGCCTCCTTTATGGAATTATACAGTATATTAATACTATTATTTTATTCTTAGTTTTTATTCCATATTATTATTATTATGGTTCAATACACTCTATATTATTATTGCATTTTATTACAACATTATTGGCTGATAGTCTTTATTATTCACTTCATCTTGTTTTTTATCATAATACCCTAGTTCAATACAATTATTATTACTATTATTATATTTCTAGTTTTATTCCATCTTATTATTGTTGCTTTTTATCCCAAAACTCTAAGTCTATACACTCTTCATTATTACTACTTTTTTTTCACTATTGGCAGCAAGATCTCCTCATTTTACAGCTCAAATGGCTACATGTAACCCTAAATTCTATGATAACAGTTTCTTCTATCACATTTCTCACTTATGGAACTCTCTTCTGGCTTCTTGCTTCCCAGTCAACTTTGCTTTAAATTTTTCAAGATTAATACGAATCGTTATCTTCTGCCTTCTTAATTCTTATTCTTTTATTGTCCTCTCTCTTTAATACTCAGTAACCCCTTGTGTCATAGTGGCTTTATTGCCTTACTTGTGGTGAAATTACTAGTTTTACTCCATTTTAATTGCTACTTTTTACTCTGACTCTTCATTATTACTACTGTGTCCTGGGTAAGACGATAAACTATGTCCAACAGCAAGGCCTCTGATCAGGAGGTTTTGAGGAGCGTGGACCTCCTCTTAATTGCTGGTGTTCCCAGGTCCACCCTGACCCAGGGTGTTAGCACCTGTTAGGGTCCCAGCTATGGGCAAATAGTTAACCCAGAAACTAAGGTAAAAAGTATTATAAAAGTATAAAAATAGGTTTTAATACCAGAAGTACTTTGTAAAAAGTTCTTACTAAAAATAAATCTTTGAAGAAAAAAAATATTGCCAGCAGTATGTTTCTAAAAAAAGCTATTACTAGTAATACACTTTTGAAAAAATAATATTACCAGCTATACATTTTTGAGGAAAAAAATATTAACAGAAATAGATTTTTGACAAAACAAAAATATTTCAGAAAAAAAAAAGTTATCGGTATTAAATGACCCATTGAAGTTGATATGCCGTAAAACAAAACAAATCAAACTATTATTACTATTATTTTAATTTTAGCATTATTCCATCTTATTATTGTTGCTTTATCTTCTTAAAGGTAATGAGTTTAAAAAAAATCTTGGAAGGACACTTTAACTTCATTTATATCACAGAATTTTTTAAATCTACCCATTCATTTTTATAATATTTAACAGGTAGAATAGTTTTAAGAATTTTTTTTTTTTTTTTTTTGGTGGGATGTAGGAAGATTTTTAAAATAATAGATATACAGTGTGTGATGGATAAATTATGCAAAAAGGAAAATAACGCTGACATCTTATTTTAACAGCTATACTTACTAAAATTGCACAAAAATATCTTGAAATACTAAAGAGTAAATTTATTCACTAAAAATCACCATTGGCTTCAACTACAGTCTAGAGATGACTTCAGAATCTCCTGGATGTTCTCCATGTTTAAGTTGATGAATGCTATCATAATCCTTGCCTTTAGTTCATCTTTGGTGTTACAAGGAGTGTTGCTAGCCTCTCACTCAATTGTGCCTCAGACATAATAATCAAGGGGGTTGCAGTTTGGGGAGTTAGGTGGCCAGATGTAAGGGGTGATGTGGTCATAGAAATTGTCTGACAGTCAGGACTGGGTTCTCCTGCTTGTGGCATAGTGCAGAGAGTCCTGTTGCCAGACATAGGGTCTTCCAGCAGCCATCATCTTGACTCAGGGTAGCAGTACCTTCTTAAGGCACTTGATGTAGGTCTCTGTGTTGAGACTGAGGCCCTGGGGGAAGATGAATGAAGGCATAACATCGCCATCACTAGTGATCTCTCCAAACACTTTCATAATCACCATTAGACTCATCCAACTCTTCTGAATCCTCTGCACTGTCCTCAGATTGACACCTAAACACTCTGAAATGTTTGTATTGAAGCTTCCGGTGTAAATGCCTAGAAGAACAGCATGCCATTTCCAAATTTCTAGCAGAGTGCAATTTCTCACAGATGGTGCCCAACTGATCCTACTACACTGTGCAGTCAACAAAATCAAAAACAATGTGCATGTGCAAAATTAAAAATATAAAATGGCAATAATTTACCCATTGAACTCTGTAGAAAATATTCAATTTTTTTTTTAAGCTTTATTGAAATGATTGTTTAAATGTTATTTCATTGGATAGGGGTCTGTTCAAATGCTTGAGCCCCATCTGTCCCTACAACAAGGTCAGAACCCATTGATAAAATGCCTCCTCCCCCACACTGGAAAAAAAAAAAAAGAAAGAAATATTGTGAATTGTACTCCAGAACAAATCACAACAGAAGAAGCTGCGTAAAGAAGGAAGAAGAGTGTTGATAGCTGTTGTGTCGGTGGGGGTGGAGATTTGAGGATGACTCAAATCCATGATGTCACATTAGTACAGACACTTTTTCTTCTTTCAACAAAAAACTCTTCTGAATCTCATAAAAGCCCTCTTTCATCCTTTCTGTATTGCATCCTTTCAACAAAAGAATGTGCCTGATGAAAATCCTAGTGGGGAATAATGACCCAATGACACAGTCATAGAGTTTCAAGCACTGCCAAGTTAACAGACAGACATTTAGATAATAAAACTGACAGAAAAAAACATGCAGACATCTAGGAAAAAGCAATCTAGATTGAAGTGTTTATTCACACATAAGTTATGAAATATGACTAGCCAGGAAAAGTGCTCAGATGAACTACATTACTTGGTTCCACCAGGTCTAAACTTCATGGCTAGGACCCACCATGGCACTTATATTATAGCAACCTAACCCTCAATCTCGAGTTGCCCCTGGGTCTTGTACAAGGTGAATGTTACTGTTTAAAAAAAAAGAAACTACATTCCTTAGTTGCTATCTCCTGTCTTTCTGAAACCTATTCTCTTATTGTCCTTTCTTCTCACTAACATTTCATTTTCTTTCACTCTCAACTACCCATTGTATCTTAGTGATTTTATTGCCTTGCTTAGGTTAAAATTATAATAAAAAAATTCTCACACACATTATAAAGAGAGTCATCACTGGGTGCTCCATACTTTCAGCCTTGTGCCACATCTAAGCTACGGTTAGAAAATCTCCAGTCTTCATTTGGTCACTTCGATGTGGTATAATGGTTAGTAAGCTTGTCTGACTACATCAGTTACAGCTGAGTAGTAGGTTTGATTCTCACTGGGTGCTCCATACATTTGGCCTTGTGTTGCAACTAAGCTACACTTAGTAAAAAAAAAAAAAAAAAAAAAAAAAAAATAATATCCCACAGTCAGATGTGCTAAAATGCATGTAAACACAGTCATTCACATAAGCACGTACACAATCTTTTTAAAACATCTATGTAATGAGAAAGGATTTATCACCACCACCCCAACACCAGCTTTCCCCAGGGTCAAATAAAGAGGCACAGTGGAATGATAGCATTGATCAAAGCAATCAGTCAATAACATGGAGAAGGAGATATGAATTATTTTGTATGCGTAAAAATATTAGGCACAGATGCATACACAAGCAGACAACACATTTACATACTAAGAAATTAAATCAGATAGACACACTTACACTGTGTGCAAACATTTTACACTCATACCAAAAAATTTAACATTATTTTTGTGAAATTTGTAGATTTTATTATAATTTAAATGTTCAAATTTATAAGAAAAACAACTTTAAATTCATGCATCTCCAAATTTTCTCCAAAATAAAAGGCCAGTACTCATACAACAACCAAAGTTAAGCAACTTTGAGAAAGGTCAGTACCTAGATGGGTGATCACTTGTGAATAGAGGGTGCTGTAAACTTGGATGTGTCGGTGGTGTAATGGATAACTGCTCTGGATTGGAATACTGAACACCGAGTTTGAATTCCAGTTTTGTTTGTTATATTCACTTACCTTTCCCAAGGAATTTGTGCATATAAATCTACCTCTTCTCTGCCCCACCTATGGGTTAATTAGTAAAATTTGTATCAGTAAACCATTATTATCTCCCAAAATAAAAATGAAATTGCCTACAAAATATTTAGATTTCAGCATTAAATACCCTCTCGAGGTTGCTAAACAAAAACAACCAATTCCAGTCAGATTCATTATATTCAATTATGCAAAAATACCCTTGGGAAAGGTATGAAATCACCTCTTCTCCCCCAGTTATGGGTTAATTAGTTGGAAGTGCATCTGTTAATCATTATTTCCAAAAAACTAAGATCTAAAACTATTTTCTGGCTTTAAATAACCTGAAAAAGGTTGATAAACTGTAAAAACAAATCTCTCTCTATCTATCAATCAATCAATCAATCCAATAACTGTGGCTGATTGTAAGCCTTCACCACCATAATCAAATGTGTAACAAGTCTAGCAGTTTGGTTCTTTAAAAAGAAAAATGAAACCCTGAATTGTTTGGGTCATATGTCAAAATCAGGAAAGTATCCTATGTGGATCAATAAGTTTATAGCCTGACATGGTTTCTAGCTGAATTTAATGTTCAATCTGTTATTATTTGGCATGTATAGATTTGTACTGAAAAATATTTATATAAAATAAATGGTTTTTCATTTTTATGGGCTGATATTTACTTGCTGTTAATCTTTTATTATAATAAAGCATAGTGTCTGGCCTTCTATTTTTTTGATCTTGGCGAATCAGAAGCAATCTGAAGTAACAGGAAGTAACTACTGTAGTTATTGGCCCTGATCTGGCATCTCGTCTACAGACACTTTCTCACAGATGCGCCATCGCCTCTCTCTGTCTGTTTTACAAATACTTTCATGGTAATTGCTCCGAGGAGCTGCATTCACTGGTCCCCAGACTTCATGAGTTCAAGCGCCTGACGAGGATGGCATCCCGCTCTCACCCCTTCACTGTCGAAACTCCTAAATGTAGCCGTCTCTTCTACTCCAATAGCTTCATGTCTCGCACCTCTCGCCTGTGGAACTCCCCTATTCCAGTTTCCCTGAGAGCTATAATCTCCAGCTATTCAAATGTAATGTCAATCAACATCTCCAGTTGCCTTGATCTATCCACTACCCTTCTCCTCACCCTTTCTTCCATCAGTCTTATCTGATCTTGCTCCAAATTTTCTGTAACCCCTTGCATACTAGTGGCTTCTCGCCTTGCTTGGGGTGAAACGCTTAAAAAAAAAAAAAAAAAAAAAAAATGTGATTAAAAATTAAGTAACTCATTTAAAGTTAAATTTAAATATCAAACAGAGTGAAAAGTTTAAAAAGCAATTCTTTATTAAAAGTTTAACTTTAATTTCGTTTTTTGTCACAATTGATATTGCCTAATTAGACTGTAATTAAAACTTAAGCAGGGTACGGTATGTTGCTCTTTTTTTTTTTTCTAACACATGTACTGTGATGTATTTGAAATATTACATGGTTCAAATTTTCTAATATCTTTTAAGTGCAAACAATCTACAGAGATCAGTTGCATATACAAAGAAAGATTATGCTGAATTAAGGTGTGAATAAAGATAAAATAATATTATTTCTAAATTCTTGTAAGTTTTACATACATAGGACACTGAAGTTGCCCAAAAGCCCTCCACAGGAGTGAGCCTAAAGTCTACCTGAAGGCAGCTTCTAGGCTAGTTATTAATAAAGTAACAAGTTCAATCCTTACTGGAGGTTTCATATTTATTATCATTGCAAATATGAATGGGTGGAAGGTAAAATGACTAACAAATATATACGGCCACTCCTTATTTAACAACTTACAGTTAATGACAAAATTATTCATACACCCTTCAATTTTGAATATTTTTATCCATTTCTCAGAATCTAATACCCATATGATGCCAGGTTTTTATATGTTAATAAGCACAAAAAAGGAATATAAAACTCAATTTTCAGAATAAGTTAAATACAACAATTTTGACAAGCGAATTATGCAAAATAGGAAAAGACAAAATTATTTGTACAGTAGAAAATAGTTTCAAATTGATTGATTTGTGCAAGTATAAGTAATTTACATAATTATTAATTAGCCTTCTAGACTATTTATTCAGTAGAATATTTATGATAATCCCAGCAAAGACATCACATGGTGCATAGAATGTCACCATTGTTATTCTTATGTTAACAACATGATGGAGAAGACAAAGGAGCTTAGCGTTGACTTGAGACATAATTATTAACTTCCACAAGTCAGGAAATAGTTACATCACTATTTCAAACCGGTTAGCTATCCATATATCTATGGTACAGTCCATTATAAAGAAGTTTAAACAGTTTGGCATGACAGAATTTGCTTGGGAATGGAAGAAAAACAAAATTGTCACCAGGAACTGCACAAAAATTGTGTCACAAGGTTAATATAAGCCCCAGAGTTATTTTGAAAGTCAATGCCAAAAATATGGGTACTCACACAATACAATGTTGTTTAAATAGAAATGGGTTGTATGGAAACTAACCATGACAAACCCCTCTTCACAAACCATGTCACATTATTGTTCAGTTTAATTTTGCCAAAATGTTCTTGGACAAAGAAAAATGCTTTTGGGGACAAGTACTATAGAGTGATGAAACAAAAATTGAGCTTTTTGGACATAATGATGTACAGAATATTTAGTGCAAGAAAGGTGAGGCTTTTCCGTCAAAGAACACAGTAGCAACATTAAAACATGGAAGTGGCTCAGTGTTGTTTTGGGGTTTTAGCTCAACAGGGACTGGACAATTAATTGCAACAAGAGGAATAATGAAATTTGCAGACTATATCAAAATTCTGGATGAAAATCTAAAACTATCAGTGCAAAATCTTCATCTGGGTCAGTGATTTATTTTCCAGCAAGATAATGATCTCAAACATATGCCTAGATCAGTGTGACTTCAAGAAAAGAAGATTCCAGTTCTGCTATGGTCTTCAGTGAGTCCTAACGTGAATCCTATTGAAAATCTATGGCAAGAATTGAAAGTTTGAATAAATTGTAAGTCACAAAAAACCTTCGGGAATTAGGTGTAACTATTGGAGAATGGAAAAAAATCCCAGAAAAGACTTGTTCAAATCTCATCAAAAACTTTAGAAAAAAATTGCAGCAAGTTATAAAGAAGAGAAACCATGCTATTGACTATTAATATGAAAATTGTTCAATTTTTCATACTGTATGAATAATTTTGTCTTTTCCTATTTTGAATAATTCACCTGTCAAATGTGTTGTATTTAACCTATTGTTCTGAAAATGTTTATATCCCTTTTTTTGTGCCTATTAACATATAAAAAAACCTGGCATCATACAAGCATTAGATTCTGAGAAATGGATAAAAATCTTCAAAATTGATGGCTGTACAAATAATTTTGTCATTGACTGTACCTGTTTAATGACTCCTGATTTAAAGCAAAGTGTCAAGAAACAGAAAGAAATCTGTTAGAAACAAAGAAAAGAGTACTGTTAGG